GCAAAGTGGCTTTTCTGTCTGCCCCACCTTTCCAGGTGTCTGTCCAGGATGCAATACTGGGGAAAATGACATTCTGAGCCAGTCACGTGCTCTTCTCCAGCCTCAACGGTCTTGAAAAGTAGTGCCTATGGTACCAGTGTGACTTCAGCTAGCTATGGCCCACCTGAGGTCTTTTTTCTAGAAACAGGGTCTCTCTTGAGCATCCTTGGCTATCATGGAACTTGTTATGTCAACAAAGCAGATCTGTAACTCATAGAGATCCACCTGTCTCTGCCTCCAAGTGCTGGGATTAAAGGCAAGCAAACTATGCCCAGCTCACCTGTGTTTTAATGTTGTTTTGGATACAGGTCATGACTTAGGACTTTTTTTTTTACTGCATTAGCTGAGAAAACTATGCATTTTTGACATTTTAATTGTTCAAACATTTAAGATGAAATATTTTTACTAGAATAAAAAGGAATAATACTTTTTTCCAATCAATCAAATTTCTAAAAATTCTCCCTCCTTCTTTCTCTCTCTCTCTCTCTCTCTCTCTGTCTCTCTCTCTCTCTCTCTCTCTCTCTCTCTCTCTCTCTCTCTCTCTCTCTCTCTCTCTCTCTCTCTCGTGTGTGTGTGTGTGTGTGTGTGTGTATTGGGAAGAGGGTATGACAGCCAGGAGCTACAACTACAAAACAATGTTTCCCATCTCAAACTTGGACGTTGGCAGTAATAAGCCACCTAGGCCAGGGCTGAGGGATGCTCAGAGCCATCTGTGCTAGACTGTTCTTAATTCTCATTGCCTTAGACCAATGTCTGAGAATGGAAGCAAGGGCTGGAAGGTATTGTGGAGCTAAGATAGATGTGCTAATAGGATGATTTAAGCTTCTAGAACTTCCTAGCCAGCTGTTTAGAAAGTCACTGAAGGACTTTCTAGAAATGTCCAATAATGACAGAACAGGTGATCGTGTTCTGGTGACACATACCCATCGCCCAGCACCTTGCTTCATCCCCACCATCTAATGTTAATGAATACAGCCAGGAAAGTAGTGTGCTCTCCCCTCATAGATCAGAAAACTGGCACATTCACAGATGAGAGAAACTGGTTCATTTGCTTAATGCTGTAGAACCTGGTCCATCTGGGTACCCATTGCTGATGCTGATGCTGAGGTTTTATCCTCCCCTTTCCCATGTGAAATGCCTTCTTCCCTGTCACTTACTGGGTTCTACTATTCTTCTATGGCCTATAGTGCAGTGGTTCTGAACCTGTGGGTAGCAGCCCCTTTGGTGGTTGAAAGACCCTTTCACAGGGGTCACATATCAGATATCTGGCATGTCAGATATTTACAGTATGAGTCATAACTGCAGAAAATTACAGTTCTGAAGTGGCAATGAAATAATTGTTTGGCGGGGGGTCATCACAGTATAAGGCTTTAAAAAATAAATTATATATATGTTATAATTATAAATATACATATAATTTGTATTTTATCTATATTGGTGTTTGCCCACATGTATGTCTGCGTGAGGGTGTTAAATCCCCTGGAGCAGGATTTACAGACAGTTGTAAGCTGCCATATGGGTGCTGGGAATTGAACTCTGGTCCTCTGGGAAAACAAACAGGGCTCTTAACTGCTGAGTCTTCTCTCCAGCCCCACAACATAAGGTTTTAAAATGTTCTTTAAATGGGATTTTCTTTAAATGTCTTTCGGCTGCCTTTTCCTTAGCTTGTCCTCTTTTGAAACTCCTGGTGATTTTGGCTGAGATCTCAGTGTGGCTTCCCAGTCTGCAGATGCTTCAAGTCACTGTCAGATGAACTCTAAGTTCCTGAACATGGTTTCCTACCAGTGTGACCCTAGTTTATGCTCTGACAAAGACCCAGTGTGTGGGTTCTAGAACACATGCCGGTTGTTTCATCTAAACAGTGACTCGGCTCTGCTAGGATCAGAGAAGCCATGATGGGCTCTTGTGAAGTGAGACTAGAATCCATGTTTCCCTGTGCATCTCTGGGTGCAGGCCTCTTGGCTACATTTTGCATCCAAGAACATCCTGGGAAAGAACAGCATGCATCAAAGCAGTGATTTCCCATTTTGTGGTTGCATGACCCCTGCAGAGAAGTAGAAGAATACTCAAGAGCCCAATAATACCTCAAAATACTCCAAAATCAAATCCAATGGATAACCAGTGGGCTGAGGGTGCCTCTGCCTCATCTGGGAGGTAGCTCACCCAATTTAGAGTACCGGTACTATTTAGGTACTTTTAGAAACAAACATTGACATGAAGTTGTACATACAATGTCTAAGGGGCCTTCAGTTGGCAACAGGACATCAATATCATGAGTACATAACAAGCAGGGCTTGACTGATAAAATGGCTCACTAGGCAAGAAGAGCACTTGCTGCGTAAGTCTGACAAGCTTGAACTCACAGAGTGTGAAGAGACAGAACCAGCTGCAGAAGTTATCCTCCGACCTCGACATGCATGACACAGCACGTGTGCATGTACATTTTACATACATGCAGCATGCACACCCCCAATAGTAAGAGACGAAATATAAATTTACAAAAACAGCCGGGAGGTGGTGGCGCACGCCTTTAATCCCAGCACTCGGGAGGCAGAGGCAGGTGGATCTCTGTGAGTTCGAGGTTAGCCTGGTCTACAAGAGCTAGTTCTAGGACAGGAACCAAAAGCTACGGAGAGACCCTGTCTCGAAAATTCAAAAAAAAAAAAAATACAAAAACAAACTGGCAGGTCTTAGAACGGATAAAATATGTTCTGCCCATTTCAAGGGAATACATTCTGGCAATCCAGGACTTGGCAAAATTCGAATGCATTTCAAAACGTTACAGAATTCATGCCATTTTCCCTTTAGGTAATGGTTGCTAAAAATGTCAAATCCCAAGTGTTCTGTCCTGAAAGAGGCTTTCTTGTCAATCACTTTGAAACTCCTAGTGTAGGTTTCCCTGCTGCCTGCTTCCTGTGGAGCTCATTGCCTCTCAGGGGGCGAAGCCGGGCCCCCAGAGTGCCCCTGAGCAGCTGCTAATTGGAAACAATCAACAAGGATTGGCTCTATTAGGAAGTGTGGCCAGGCCGGTGCTAATCTTATTATTCTTTGAAATGAATGACTTAAAAAGAAAAAAGAGGAAAGAAAGAAAAGTGAGTGTACAACAGAACACCGAGAACAGTGTGGAAGCAAAGACCACGTGACCTGTTGCCAGGTGTCAGAGCCATTCTTTAAGCGTGTCGCTCCGTCCTGTTTCTTCAGAGAATGTTCTCACATTCATTATCACATTTTAATCTCTCCAGAGTCTGGTTAGAGACCATTTAATAGATTTCAGCAACTATTCCGGTGAGCGGAGGAGATTGAGAAAATTTTCTGCAGAGACAGCGTAGAAGGAAGGCTTCCAAGAGGCTTCAGAATTACATGGTGGTCCTAGAAGCCATCAGCAATTCATAATGGCCATGTGTGTATTTATACCTTAATGTTTGTGATCTGGATGCCTGAATCTCAAAGACTGAAGTATCCAATAAACAGTGAAATCTCAAAACTCACAGGAGATGTGAGGGGCGTGAACGTTTGAAAATGTTAGCATTCAGGACTGTGCTGGGACTCTGGAACTCTTAGCATGACTGGCTTAGTGACGCTGAAGATGACTGTGCCTCATCTTCCAGATTTCTCTTTGCATTTAAGATATGGCCACACAAACCCTTCTCTCTTGGAAGACTTCCTCTGCCCTCCTTCATGACTGTGACCCTCAAAGGCAACAGGATCTGGGTCTTGAGAAGATGTTTTTGACTCCCTACATGGGCCTGAAAACTCAGAGGTGCACCTTAGTGGTCCATTGCTATGTCCCCCTGTGAAAGAGAGCAAGGTCCCTGGCCAGAAGGTTACAAGTCCCTACTTTCCACTCACACTAATTAAATGTGTTTGGACACATGCAGGGCTTCATCCGTGAGGGGCTAAAGAAACTGGAAGGTGGGAGACTGATTCCTACTCTGCCTTCTTTTTAGCTCTTAACTTTTATAGTTAGGTCCTCTAGATGCCTCAGTGACCTCAATAGTTACCAGCTTGTTCTTCCCAACATCTCAGAATAACCAAAATGTAGGTGTTTCTTAATACCCATTATTGCCAGAGCTTTCCAAAAGTTCTAGAAAAAAATTATTTTACTCTATTAAAACAAAACTTTCTAGAAAATCAGCTAGTAATATTATTTATGATCTTCTAGAGTTGAAATTGCCAAGAAAAAACCATCATCAGAGCTAGACAGAATCACAGCCTGGGATTCTTTGGCTGGGCACCAAGTTCATCAAAGTCTTGATCCCAGCACTGACAGCGCTCCAAAGAGTGCCCCTCCTTAACTCCTGGCACAGCCTCTGCCAGGCACTGTAGTGCCAAGACACTAAGGATGATAATGTTACACTCAATGGACCGGTGTCTGTCCAGTGTCTGGTCTGGATACAGCACAAGTGGGTTGAGACAGCTAGGCCTGACCCTGCTGGTATGCCCAAGTGCCCAGAAAGAGCTCTAGCAAGCTGGAGGTAGAGGGGTGAGCCTTACTGTTTCTTCAGGAGCAGCTGTAAATACAAGGTCAGGGAAAGGGTGCTCAAAACGCGTTGGGATTTTACTCTGTCCTATTAGTGCAGAAATTCATCTCTCAGTAAAAGGATAACATTGATTTCGTTACTTAGTCTATGCTTATTGGGCTTTTGGTGTGCACATGCCAGAGTGGAAGGAAGAAACCAGTGTGGTCCCTACTTTCTGTAAGCCAGTGCAGGTGTTGGTGCCACTGACGGAAGAGGGTATCCTGACAGATTTTTCTACACATCTTGACTGCACATTATAAGCAGGAGCTGGGTTGGCCTTACACATGGCAACACCCCAACCACCTCCAGAACAATGCTTGGAATCACAGACCTCAGATCAATGGGGACAGGAGCGGACCGGAGCAGCGTTATCTCCAAAGAGCAACATAGCTTCTCACTTAGACCGTGTGAAAGACCTACACCTATTTTCTTTCTTCACAGCTAAGCTGCCTTCTGCATGAAGCTACTCATTCACAACACTCGGCACCTGGCATTGTGTGTGACTCCAGTCACTTTCCCATTTAAATGCATGAAACATAGCCAACCACTTTTGGTGCTTGTCATTGTGCATTTAGTAAAACAGGTGAGTGTCCAGCCTCTTAGCATTCATCATTTATTCCTAACCTGATTTCGAAAAGTCAGACCCATTGGCCCTGTCACCTTTGATCAGGGAAGGATTGAGTTCTGTTTTTATGCTGTGTCCCAGGAACTTGCTGTCCTGTGGTGTTTTCGCATGCTGCACTGCAGTCTTCCTGAGAAGGACACTGTTCTCCTATGAAATAATAGGGACACCTCTGTCTTCAGAATAGGTAGCTGGGGACAGGACATAACACATTGGTCAGTCTCTTGGTCAACAGCAGCTGGCTTCTCTCCATGGGATAGAGGGATATTGAGGGGTGGGGTTGACTCTAAGCTGTGACTCTTCTCAGGCCTTCATCAGCTTGGGAGCATGACCTAGAGACCTGAGGACCCTAAATTATTACCTCATCAGCTCCCTGGGGTCTCTAACAAACAGGGTCTCCCCAGTCAGGGAAATAATGCCCTTCATGTGATGCAAAGCCCCTAGGGGTGGTGAGGAGCTTCCTGGCCTCATCTTGAGTGCAGCTGTCCACAGCTCCTCCAGCCTAGCTGGGGACTTGGGGCCTGCACCGTTCAGGTGGGCAAACACATCTGAGGGGAGAGACTCTGGCAGCAGGATGTGGATTTCACAGCAGGAAGCATCCAGCTCCCGTGTGTCTGTCTCCACTAACCTGTGGATTTCTTACCAGCTCACCTGGCTGGGGACTTTCAGAATTCCACACCTGGGCTCGCCCTCGCCAGAAGGAAAGGCTTTTATTGACTTGGGAGAACTTTATTTGATAGGCCCCTCTAGTGTTAGAGGTGTCAGGGTGGTATGGTGTGGGGTGGGGTGTCGAAGTGTTTTTTTGCGAAGGCCTCCCAGCAGTGAAATATCCCTTTTAAGGTTCAAGATACTTTTCTCCACTTCCTTAGTGCTGGAGTTAAGATACATTTGATACAGTGCTACATTTTCTAAACTCAAAACGAACAAACACTTCTCTTATCCCTTCACTTGGAATCTCAAGAACCTGCTGGAGTTCCCTAGTATCTAAGCCCGGATGGAAATTGTCTTCCCTGTTGGTGATGCCTGCTTAGCCTGATACCGCCTTATAGCCTCTTAGCCTGGCTTTTTTCTGTAGAGCACACTCCCGTGTGTTGTGTGGGAACAGGACCAGGCAAGGATTGGGGGACTGCTGGTTCTCTGCAATTCAAACCTGCACATAGCAAGCAGGCTCTTCATAATTAGGTAATACTCACATAAATCCTGCCACTGTGAGCTCTCAGTCATCAACACTAGTGTTCCCTGGAATCTGATTCCCACCGAAAGCATCCTCCATGAACCCAATTTTTGCAATCTTTTTAACTTGGCTTTTCTCTTCAGACTTTCCTTACGACTGGAGCCCAAAGGAGTCTGACTGCTTCACCCATCTGTTTGGCTGGCTAGCATGAGGCTATAAGAATCAGCTGTTTATATTCTTATAGTCTGTGAAAATGTGTGAGTTTACATGTAAGTGTGGCATGGGACAGCACTTGTCCACACATCTTCCAATGAATGGGCCGGATCTGGTCAGCTTGAATGTGAGCTTCCAGTGGGATCACAGGGTCTCATTTACCTTTGGTGGCCATGTGTTCTTAGGGTGGGCCTAGCAATGGCATGTAAGCCAGTGCTCTGTGGTGGCAGGTGGCAAATGTCCAGTTTCCTGTGGCACAGTATCAAATGTATCTTAACATGGCTACTAAGGATCCATCTACTTCTTGGTGTTAGCGGAGGAATGTCCAGTCTAGTTTTGACTCAGTGTAGCTCTTCTGCTACATCTCCTCATTGATGGGGTGCTACTCAGTCTCCCAGGCTGAATGTAGCAACATCTGGCATATGATGCCATCACAATGGAGAACTCATTAGTGTATGGTAATCTGTGAGAAGCTGTCTAGTTAGTTAAGTCCTGTAATTGAGTTCCACCAATGAGATGTGGTCTACCCGGCTGTACTGCTCATGTACCTAAAACTCCCCCACAGGGCCTTTGTTTTCTCTTTATTGGTTGGGTGGACAGACAGGAAGTGTTAAAGGTGACAGGGCTGAGCTAGAGAGAACAGTGCACCCTGTCTCCTGTCATCATGGCTTGTTCTGGATTGCAGGTGAATGGAATTATTAACTTCTGCTGTGTGTGTCGTGGGCACAGTAGATGGTATCTAATGAGTTCACAAGCATTAGAGAAACTCTATTCTTTCTTCACAGATCCTCATTGAGAATGTTCAAGAAGACCCCAAGTCTCACCTTGCCCCTGGCTTCAATTGTGAACTAGTAGATGGCACCTGAGGGTGTCAGAGTGGCATGTGACTGCCTTCCTAGCATCATATGGAGCTGTACAGTCTTTACTTCCACAAATCCAACTTGTAAGTTTGCTGTAGGTTCTTCCTTATTTTTTGACAGCTTCCCCATTTTTATTTGAGCCATCCCTACCTCTATTCATTAGCTCTGGGGTGTTTTCATTTCTTTCAGCCTCACTTCTTAGCAGGCTCTGAGTTTGAGGTTGCTGTCTGTTAGGGCCCTGGATCTCTAGAGTTGGAGCAAAGAAGCCTCCACCAGCTCTGGTGGTGGTGGCTTTGAGGCATGTCATTGGGCTCTTTCCCAATGAGACTTTGATACATCAGCCTTATCTTCAATGCCAGGCTGGTTCCTGCACCAGCTTCCTTGGGGTTCTAGAGTTGTCTCTGGAGGAATTAAGTCACTAACTGATCCCAAAACTCAGTGGAATCTTCAGGCAAGACTGTCAATCAGTGTTTACACCTTTGCCTGGGTGAGGAAGGATGCTGCAACCTACGGGAGCTGCAAAGCACAGTAGTGAGCTCTGGTCTCAGGGACACAGATATCCCACCGGAACCCTCAAAGTAGTCAGTTAGGTCTAGGAAGCCAAATCAAATATGGAGGCTTAAAGCACGATCAATTTGTCAAGGTCCCTGGGTAGCTCTTCTGGGCCAGATAGCCTCAGCTAGAGCTGAGTTGTCTCAGATGGCTACCAAGGATGGAAACTGGTTTGTGGTCATCTGGACAATGGCACATGTCCCTCATCCTCCACAAGACAGACTTAATTTCACTCTCCTGGCAGAGAAGAGGCCAGGCCTCAAAGCATAAATGCTTTTCAAATTCCTCAGTGCCACAATTGCTCATTTTCAGTCCTGACTGGAGGTGGCTGATGGAAAGTCGATAGACTCAACTTGCTGATGGAAAGAGGGTCAAGCTTCGATGGACGGGATCCTGAGGCTGGAAAAGATGACAGGGCCAGGGTTACAAATGTTCTGTCACAATTTCTACAGGGGGTTCTTGAGCTGCTGCAGACATGCTGGGAGGTGAGGGGGGCCCTGAAAATGGCAGAGTGGCAGCAGGTAGTAGCTGGAGCAACAGCACTGGGCTTGGAGGAGCAGCTGCAGCAGCCATGGTGGTGGAAGCAGGAGCCATGCAGCAGAGGAGGAGAGCAGAAAGGCAGTCCTAGGAGAACTCAGGGTAGGGGAAAGGCATTCGCCATGTGCTCAGGGATGAAGAGCTGACCCTATAGAGCAGCATCTCCAGTCCACATTCTACCTGATGTTTTTACCTCTTTTCCTTTTCTTCTTTTTTCTTTTCTGTTCTCTTTCTTTTATTTTGTTTTTGTTCTGAGATAGTGTTACTCTCTTTGTAACAGCCTGGCTGTCCTGGAACTCTCTTTGTAGACCAGGCTGGACTCAAGCTCACAGAGATCCCTCTGCCTCTGCTTCCTGAGTGCTGGGATGAAAGGAGTGAGCCACCACCGCCAGGCACATTCCACCTGATGTTAATGAGCGGTTTTTTGTGATCACTCCCCTCTCTGATCTCAGTAGTGAGTGGTAAGAGAGGCTCTTGGGCTGTGGGACACGAGAAACTTTGGTTAGGACATTGTGCCCTATGCATTCCTGAAAGGCGATGCCTGCTCCAGCAGAGTTTCCCAAGCTGCACCGCACATGCTTCCATGTGTTCATGGAATTTCACGTGGAAAGCCCACAGAAGGAGCCGGAGTCCTCATGTGGAGAAGGACTCAGTGTTTTACAATGGTGGAATTTTTATAATAGTTCCTGAAGATCAAAGGTGTTTCTGATCTTCTGTGAGCAGAATGACAGACACGGGGTAGGTCACTAAGGGTTTCTTGGAAAGCTGTTAAATATTTAATCTTGGGGTCATATATCAGTGGACAAATGCCTCCCAAGCTTACATTCCTCTCAATTTTAGCAGCAGCCCAGTAGCCATTCCAATATAACCACATTATTATCTTTACACAGAGGCATTCCTCTCCCTACACCATGCTAATATTTAAGTGACTTCTCAGATTGTGCAGTATCTTTGGCACTGAGCTGGATTTGAAGACCAAGTCTCCTATTTAACTCCGTTGAGAAGACCTTGAGGTAGTCAGATGTCCTGGTTAGGAAATTTTGGAGACCCAGAGAAGAGAAAAATGAATTTTGTGGAGCCTGGAATGGGATTAATAGTTCTCATCAAAGTAAGTTTTAAGTTGTCATCAAAGGAGAATTTGCTAAGCAAATTCTTGGCAAGTTGCGGAGGTGAGAGGAGGAATAAGCTACATCCACCTCAGTTGTTCACATGTGACTTGCCCTGCCTCAGCTCATGTTGAGCTGGCCTCCACTGCAGTGTTGGGCACTCTGAGAGGTCGGCTGAAGCATGGGTTGTGGTAGGCAACCCCCCCCCCTTACACTCACTTCTGTTTCTCATTCACAGGAACCTGCTGTGTTTCAGCTTTTCTATGCTGTGACACAGCACTGAAGCCATTACCACATAGGATGAGGCTACCTGTTCTTGCACTTCTCTACCGTAACAGCTATGGGGTAAGAAAACCTCTTTCCTCTGCACGTTACCCAGCCTCAGGTGTTCTGTTGCAGCCACAGGAAATGGGTCACGACATTATATTTTCTCGTTGCTGTGACAAAACACCTGGGAAAAAAAGGCAACTTAAAGGAAGGATTTATTTATCGACAAATTTCCATTGCTCTGAGTCCTCCCGTCTTTTGATACTTCATCAGGACAGCTTTAGAAAATTGACAGCACACACGCACACACACACACACACACACACACACACACACACACACACACACCATGATTACAGAAAGCCAGAGACACACTCCTCTGCTTGCCTTAGGTTGAGGAAACTAAGGCACTGACTGGTTGTTTTTTTTTTTTTAAACAAACTCTGGGGTCCTATTTCCACTTTCCTTCCCATAGATTCCACCCACTAGCTTGTACTTCTTCAATATCTCTCACTCTCAATATTCACAAGTGTATTATTCCACTATTGCTATGCAACAAGACGTTCTAATCTCGACGACATGACATAGCCATCAATTGTGAGTGCGTATGTGTTTGCTTCTCCTTCAGGATACAGTAGAGCTAGCCAGGGCTTCACTGAGCTATCCCGAGTTTTGCTTCTCAGTGTACATGTGTGATCGCTATGTGTGGTTTGTCTCCTCATGGACCATTCTGGGCCAGCAGCAACTCTTCTCAGGTCACTGGCAGAATACTGAATGAAAAGGAGGGAACAGGTGGGAATTCTGGAATACTACCCTTTCCTCCTCCAAGCTCAGCCAAATGGTGAAACCAAGTCGCAAGTTCAAGCCCAAGCATAGAAGCAAAGTACAAACAAACCAAAAACCATAGACACAGCCTCCATTTGGCAGGAGTGATGGTGCAGAAGGATGAGGGGGCACATATTGCAATCTGTCACAAGTCAGAGACTGTCCAAAAGCTACTCCATATGCCCTTGTCATCCTGGACTGTGGCAACCACACTGTCTGGAAACCTCCATTCTGCCTTGCAAAAAAAAGGAGTCCCTGCTTCATAGTACTGAGGATGAGGAAGGCAGAGTCCTAACAGCTCTCTTGAACTCCCTGAAGGCTGCACAGTTATTAAACGTAGGTCCAGATGACAGCCGACATTGATTTTGTGAATATAAGCCCAGGATTTTGAGCCTAAACTCTCATTCTAAAGTCTAAGCCCTGTGAAAATCCCATCTCTCAAGTCTCACTCTGAGAACTGGACTGGAGCTCTGAAGTAAGTGATACTGTAGATAGTCATCTTCATTCAAAATAACAGCGTGATCTATCATCAATTGATGGATTGATTGATCAATCAGTTGATTGGTTGGGACTGAACCCAGAGTCCTGAGTATATTAAGTACTCTCTATTACTGAAGTCACACCCAGGCCCCATTGCTGCATTTTTTTAAAAAAAAATTACTTCTATTATTTTTAAAAAGATCTATCTATTTTGTGTATACACCTACATAATAGAATATAGCATCAGATGCCATTACAGATGGTTGAGAGCCACCATGTGGTTGCTGGGAATTGAACTCAGGACCTCTGGAAGAGGAGCTAATGCTCTCAACCACTGAGCCATCTTTCTAGCCCCATTGTTGACAGAGTTTAGGAGCATAGAATCCCACAACAGGCAAATGTATATTACACTGAGCTCAAACACAGGCACAGACTGAGAGTCCAAGAAGGGGTCAGTTGTGTTTCCCATCGGAGGCTGTTTGTCCAATGAAGACTTCGTTTGAGATTGGAGCATGTTGCCTCTTTTCATTGTCTTGGTGTTAAAGAACCCTGGGCTTGCTAAGTGCAAATGTCTTATCTAAGGTCACCAAGCAATCATCAGAGCACCAATTAGCCGAGGGTGGTTCTCCTGGCCTCACACCATTTTCTCACAGGGAAGAGCACTGTGGCCTTGGGTTAAGTCACACCCGTGGCAGAGAAACGGTCCAGTCAGACTTCAGCAGGCCATCTGGTGATCGCACGTTTTATTTGGACAAGCTGCATACTTTTAGAACTTAAGCTCTTAAAAAATTCTTTTAGAGATGTCAAGGCGACTGATGTATAAAAAAAAAATGAGCCAGGGCAAACAAGGATGACATTCTTTTAATTCCTTCCCCACCGGGTCATTTTCTCCTTAACACCCAGATCTGTGTACGGCCATCTTCCGTAATGGACCCTTGACCAACGCAGAGGTCCACACCTCAGGGAAGCTGTGAGCAGCTGCAATTTTTTCGTAAGTTGATTCAATGGCCTTGCCACCCCTTCTCACAATTGCTAATAAGACACCGTTCATCACTCTATAATGCACCTGTACATTAAAGCATCATGGATGCACTCCTGTTATCAATAAGACAATAAAGATAAGACGTGCGCATCATGACAGGTGAAATGTCAGAATGTGAACTTGTTATTCTAAGAGAGCAAAGTAGCATTTTTTTAAAGGCAACATATAGCCAGGTGATGGTGGTGCATATCTTTAATCCCAGCACTGGGGAGGCTGAGGCAGGTGTAAGCTACAAGAGCTAGTTCCAGGATAGGCTCCAAAGCTACAGAGAAACCCTGTCTTGAAAAACCAAAAAACAAAGCAACATAAACATGTTTCAAATAGTATTATTTAAGAAAGCCAGTTGAATAGAAAAGCCATCTTCCTCCATGCTTGTGGGAAAACTATAGTTGTTTGTGTGTGTGTGTGTGGGGGGGTGAGCATCCTTATGTTTAAATGAGAATCTCATAAATTCTCATTTCCTTTATCCTAATATGAGGCGCAGACCGGTATTCTCCCACAACAATGTCACTGTGAGTCCCCTTGTATCTTCTTCGCCATGTATGGTTACAGGCCAGGCTGTGGAGAACACTTCACAGGTATAGTGACAACTGATCAGGCCAGAGCATCAACTCCAAGAGAGGTGGCAGTACTACGATTGCTCCCTTTATGATTTCTGGGGTCTTCCTTTACACGTATCAATCTGCAATAGCTCCTAAATAACAATATAGACAACATAAAGAAAAGTATCATTTTTGAGTACCATGTTCTTCTATGAGGCACTATTAGACTTGATTTATTCACCGGTGTTATAGACAAGTAGACAAAATAATGCTTTATTAATGAGAAATTATTGAAAATAGTAATGAGGACATAATTAAAGCTGGCTCACCATCCTCAGCAGTCGATGGAATGGGAAAGCACACCACAGACAACTTTTTACTGTGAGATTCAGCACGGGCGGTCCTGTCTCACTGCCAGCTCCATCTATCACGGTGAGTGAATGTTGGTCATTTGAAACCGTTGGCTTTAGAGTTTTGCTTCTAATAAGTCTGTACATTTGGCTGTTTACTAGCTACTTAAAAGTGGCAACCATTGGATGTTCCTGGGGTTTCACAGCTGTACAAGTTTAAACAGTGTAAGCAGATAGTCTCCCCACTGTGATTTGACATGTAGCTTTTGAGCTTTCCCGTGGGATAGTGGTTTATGCTTGGTAGACACTGTAAAGTACATCAGCTGCCCATTCACGGTGGAAGCCCTTAGAATGGGTCTGTGTTCCATCTTCAGTACAGTTCCCAAGAATTTACATGAGACATCCAATAATTTATCATGTTACATGGAACTGGTGGTAGTAGTTGAAGTTTGTTCGAGTCGGAATAAGGTGGGATGTTGGGTAGGTCGGGACAACAAATAGGGTCTTGATAAACCCATCAAAAGTTGAAAGTGCTGGAATCTTATGATGCATATGGACCCCAGCCATCTAAACATTTTGCTCCTGCAAAATTACCCCGTTGAGTACTAGCTATTACCCTTGCATGATGAGTGCAGGGAAGCTGGGGTTTGCAGACTCTGTGGGGTGTCAGAGACAATGGTGTACTGTACAATACTAGCTGGGGTAGGATCCAAACTAAAAATTTGAAATATTGTTTCCCATAACATACCACTTTTGCATAGTTCTGAGGTTGCGAAATTATGTCAGTGGACATATGAATGAAATGCATTTTTATTTAACACCCCCCCCTCCAGAATGGGTTTATTAGGATAAAACTCCACTGCAAATTAAGGAGGGCTTGTATTACTGTCTCTGACCTCTGCTGTGGGGTTACAGCTGCTACACCACCGCTGGCCTCCACCGCTGGGCCCTGATATTAGTTCAATGCGTAGTAGAAATGTACAAGGCAAAGATTCTTCCCTTAGTAGTGAAAGTGGAGCCTCCAGCTTGGGCCCTGGTTCACCATCACACGCTGAGCAGGGGAAGGCAGAGGCAGCACTCCAGTGGGGAGCTGCAGCAGGATGATGGACAGAAGTGTGAGAAAGGGTTGATTCTTGTTTCTCTGTGTTCACTAAGAGCTGAGCAGGCATGGAGATCCGTGTGTGGGTCACCGGCCATCTCTCCAGGATGGATCAGAGGTGAGAGAAGCTAGCCATGGTCCCTGGGCTTCACCTGGTTTCACGAACAGTTTTCAGACTCTTGTTCATTCTCACTTATTCTTCTGTCAGTCATGTTATCCTGAATATATGATTGTTGAGTATTGATCACTGGACCATGGAGCCACACTGGAGCCAAAGATGTACATTTGGGGATGTGCTCACCACTTCCATGGCAATTTAAGTTGAAAAGCTTCAAGAGGAGTCAAATGAATCCAGAACCAGGTGTGGGTGGGAGATTGCATTTACTCAGGGGTTGCAAAATATTCCCTGTAGGCCAAATCCAGTGTATTGCCCATTTTAAAATAAAGTTTTATTGGTACACAGTCGAGCCACTTCTCATTTTCTCCAGGGCTGTTTTTTATGCCCCAGTGAGAAAATTGAGGGCTTGCCACAAAGCTTTACTTTCTGGCCCCTTGCAGAAAGTTTACTGACTTCCGAATCCCAACAATAGGCAAACTGTCGCTTTCACGGAGAAGCCAGGAGGGACAGCAGATCATGCCAGTATGTAAGGTTTTCCAGCCCTCCTCTAACTCTGGGCTGCAAGAAGTCAAAGCCCATTCAACCCACCTCAGTGAACCATTTTAAACTTTACGGTCCATCTTTTGCAAAACCAATGAGAACAAGAGAAGAACCATATTCTTTAGAGTTTATCGTGTGGTGCCATAAACACTAAAGTTGAAGATGGGCTGTGCCTCTGTGTAGGATGAGGATAGGGTCAAGAGTGAATTATACTGGAATTGTTATCAAGACAAAATGAGCAGGACCTTGAGGCCTCAGTGTTTAGCATACAAGGAACTTCCAGTGGCGGATGTCAGAGACGTCATGGCTGTCCCTATCAGAAGAGAAAGGTGAGGTCCAAGGCCCCACGCTCTCCTGCTATAGTGAGTGTAAGATCCTGCGACACTGTTAAAGGCCCACAGTGTGCTGGGCCTTCCTCTGTAGGAAGTAAGTGTACCACTCTCTCTCAGCCTTACAGAAAAAAAAAAGGTGGGGGTGGGGGAGAAGGTGCTGAAATTCAAACCTATGCAGTGTTATTTCATAGGAATGCACGTTCGATTTTTTCACAACAGCTTCCCCCATGGAGTGACCTGGGAGATACACAAGGTGCTTGTCCTGGGACAATCAATGGCCCAGAGCTTCCCTAGAAAATACAGCTAGAATCTTCTTGCCCCAGCCCTTCTTCTGGGTCCAGCATTGCGCTGGCGCCATCTAGTGAACAAACATGAGAAGTTCCGCCATGAGGTAACTGCAAATCCTTGTCTTTATACTCCAGTCTGGCTGGAGGCCGCCTCCCCAAGCCCACAGACAGACAGGGTGCCAGGATCCCACCCTTGTTCATTCCTTGTGTGCCACTGGCTTTTCCAATGTTCTTCAATGTCTGCCTGCTAACTATTCCTCCCCAGCCCATGACCCTTATCTTTGCCTCCCCTGCCCTTCTTCCATAGTCTCCTATTGTATTCCTGGTGACACCTTTCCAGCAAGTCCTTGCCTCTGGGCTCACATTGGTAGGAATGTACTGGAAAGAGCCAGGGCATATCCCTCTTATTTGGTGTCCTCTTATAAGGACAGAGCCTGTGCCGCTGGCAAACCCAGCCTCTACCTGGGCCTGTGAAGGAATGAGTTTCCAAGGGTGCGTTGGACCAGGAGCAGTGTTATCCAGGAGCCAGTTAGAATACAGAGGCTCGGGCTCCACCTCGGAGCTGTGGGATCAGAGCTGGCTCAGCACTGTGGATGCCACCACCAACAGCCCTTCACTGGACCCAGGTCCCTGAAGTGTGGCTACTCCACTTTAAAACCTTCCCATTTGAATGGGTGAGCGATCCTCTTCGGCACCAACTACTGCTGGGAGGTTTGCTTGGAATCATATGATGACTGTCAGCCATGGGGACAGATGATCTATCTAATATTATTTTGCCAATGTGATCATTCTCGTTGTAGATGGATGTTGATGGCATAGGGCTTTGCATCGGGAACCCCTATGTGGACCGTCGGTTTCATCAGTGTGGGTGTGTTGGGACTAATTGAAGTTACTAGAAGCTGTGCCTAGCTTAGAGGATCAGAGGATGGGGTTTTCACCTGTTGGCCATTGACTGCAGCGTATTTAAGCCTCCATGGTGCTAATAAAGGTGGGCTTTTGGTACCAGTGTTTGAAGGTCTGTGTGTCAGTCTGTCTCTGCGTGTGTTTCCTCAACCTTCAGCCCCTTGCCCGAAGCTCACGAACTGGGTTCTAGCTCATAGAGCGCAGACTGGGGCCGCGGTGCGCGGCATGGGTGCATCCCTGGATAAGTTAGCACTTCTGTGCTCGCCATTCTAGGCCTCACTTGAATTTCCAACAGCCAGTGCCTGTATCCTTCAGGGTATCTGTCCTGGACCTATGATGGGTTCTGCTAGTGTAACGTGGCACAACTCCAAGCAGTGATGGAAGAGTCCATGCCTCATCAGGACTCAGACTCAGGCAGTCAGAAGAGCTTGCATGTTGCTACAGTGGCAGGATACAGATTTAAACCAGCAGAAGATAGGCACTGGGGACACAGGCATTGGGGACAGGCTCAGAGTGCCCAGGTGTGGCGCTCCAGCTCTCCTCATGGGGCTCTGCTAACAGAGCCTAGTTCTTCCACTGTTGATGCAAGCAACACTCGCAGAGCTTTACTGACAGGGACGCTGTCTATCCAGTGGTCACACAGACATGACTCACTGCTCACCTGGCTCCAAATAATCTCCGGTGCCTTCTGAGGTCAAACTGACGCCAAGGCCCCCATCATCAACAACAGTGTTAGCATGGGCTATCTGATGAGACCCAAGGTCCTAGGTAAATAAAGAGACTCTTATCACCTGGGACATTCCAAGGACTGAGAAGTGGCCTCCCCTGAGCTGGCCAGTGATAAGATCTTTCTTAGGACAAGAGTAACCCTTTACTGCATATAAAACAAAGAACCCCAGCCGGCCTCACTGCCCACTGATCCTGCCCTCATGGTGCCCTCATGGTGCCCAGCTGTGACCCATCTCCAGAGCTCCCTGGCAGGCTGGATCACTGCCGAGTAATCCATCTCTCCCCTTTCCCAGTCTCATCTTCTCCCCTGCTTGTTATTGATCTGGGACTGACTGATTCCTCTCATCCCCTTGTCTCTGAGAATGTGTTCTGCAGGGAACGACAAGATGAACGCTATAAGACTCTCATAAGTCCTGATTTCCCAAGTCTGTGAAGCGCCCGTGGGTCCCTGTGATTCCCAGTCTCTACATGCAGTTCCCCGCAGCAAGAGTCCCACGGACACTGATCACACCCTCCCTCCCGCCAGCTCTCAGCTCTCACCACTCCCTGCAGTTTTAGTCTCTCTGCCCCTACATCTTCTCAGAAGACCCCCCGCCCTGGCACCTTGATCCCATGTGGCATCACTATCCTCTGGAATCCACCATTTCTGCCAGCCTTTGCTACCGTGGCCCTCCTGCAGCCTTTGGACAGGTACTAAAGACTTCATGATGGACTACCAAAGACTGGCGGCTGTCTGCTGAGAAGCGTTTCTTTTTTTTTTAAATATTTATTTATTTATTTATTTATTATGTATACAATGTTCTGTCTGTGTGTATGCCTGCTGGCCAGAAGAGGGCATCAGACCCCATTACAAATGGTTGTGAGCCACCATGTGGTTGCTGGGAATTGAACTCAGGACCTTTGGTAGAGCAGGCAATGCTCTTAACCTCTGAGCCATCTCTTCAGCCCAGAGAAGCGTTTCTTACGTCACCATCTTTTGAAGGCATCTGGCCGTCCTGAGTTATTTGTGGGAGCTAGGACCCAGCTGAGACTGCCACACTCCTTCTCTTGGTGACCTTCCTTTCTTTAGAAGGACTTCTCACCCAGGCAATGACTTCTTAGAACTTCTCCAAAGGCAACGTCTCAGGCAGGGTTGGGAGTAGGGGATGATGAAGTCTCACCTTAAACTTGGATTTTCCTCGTACAGGAAGGACAGGACTCTGTCTCTCTGCCTACTGACATGGCCTTCCATTCTCCATCGGTCCTTTTTCCTGTTAATCAGAGCCTCTCTGTGTGACTTCTACTCAGCAGGACAGGGACCTTTCCTGCACACCAGTTCCTCGTTACGCCTTCTTGCAGTCTCCAGTTTCATCCAAGCCTCAAGCAACACAGAGAAATAAGAGGGCAGGACCTTGCCCATCTTACTAATGAGAAGATACTGACCAGGGAAGGGGGCGGCCAGCTGTGCAGGCCAGGCACTGGCCTATCAATATAGGATTGCAATGTAGCTTTAAAAATTACTATTATTACATAGTGGATTGACATTTTCATTAAAAATATTGTATATTTTGACCATATTTCCCTCAGTTCGCCTCTCCTGTTCCACTTTCCATAGCCGCCAGTCTCTTCCTAAATATCCCTGCTTCTGCTTTCATGTTCCATGTTTGTGTGTATACATGTATAAAGCAAACGGTATTCATCTTTCCGAATCTGTCTTATCTCATTAATATGATGGTCTCTAGTTCCATCCATTTTCCCACAAATGACATAATTTTATTCTTTTTCACGCTAAGGACAACTCCAGTGTGTTGTAAGGAAAAGTCCAGTGTGTGTGTGTGTGTGTGTGTGTGTGTGTTCATGCAAGCATGTGTAGCATGCACATGTGCTCCCATACTTGTCTCATTCTCTTTATCTAATCATCTATTGTCAACATATCTTTTGAGGGGCACAATTCCACCCTAACATTTTCCTAGTTCACAAAATGGTAAGTGGGCATGAATCTCAAACAGAGGATGTAAGAGCAAGTCTAACACGTGCACTGTCACTCTGAGGGACCATGTGCATCTGAGAGTGCCGAGATTGTCAAGGTGGTCCTGACTTCTGAGCATCTGTGATGACATGAATGTGCCCTCTCCAAAAGTTTGTTGATGCCAATGGGCTGGTGGCAAGAGATGGGGTTCTTGGGAGGTGATCAGGCCATGAAGGCTGTTTCCTTCACAGTGATGTTAGGAGGCTTCCTTATCCTTTAACTTCCATCTCTGCAAGGACACACTGTTCCTTCCTGACCCACCTCAGAGGATGCAGCACCAAGGCACCACCTTGGAGGCAGAGAGTAGCCCATATCAGACATCTGACCTGTTGAAGCCTTGGTCTTGTCTTTCCAGCCTCCAGACTTCTGAACGATGTATTTTTGGTCTTTATAAATTACCCGATCTCAAACAGTTTATGACATAGCAGCATACATAGCTTGAAATAATACTGAATTATTAAAGACAAAGTTTTAGTGTTAATGAATTTATACCACAGTCACATGGTGTATCCATTAAGGTCCAGTCAGGAAACTAGCCCTTGATATGTATCCCAGCTGAGGGAATTTAGTACAAACCACTGATCATAAACTTGGAATGAGCGACAACTTAACTTCTCATCCATCTGCCATGAGCTGGTGAAGCCAATGTAAGATGGGGCGGGGACTTTCAGGGCCCTGAGTTGGTCTTCCAGTGGAATGGATTCAAGAAAGGACCACCTGGCTATAAGAGAAAGCCTGAGAAATACTTTCTCAGTATTTTGGAGAAAGTTTGGTGAAGGTTGTGGAGCGGTTCTGGAGACAGCAGCAAATGTTGGACACCTATGCTTTGCAAACACTGACAGGGAGTGGAGATTAAATATAGAATCCTATGGACTTAGTGACAGTCAGGCAATATAGGCAACAACAAAACAAACCAGAAGAGCTATAGAGCCGTTTGAGCAATAGGACAGATGTACAGATGGCCTGTTAGTTCTGTGCACTACCAAAGCTTGAGAGACCTTGGTGGCAGTTCCGGGTCCCTTCATTCCTCCCAAGGGTGGGCAGCCAACAGGCCGGAGTTGCCTCTACTAAAAGATTAAAGAGCCAGAGCACCTCACCCCTAACAGCTTAAAACGACATACTGAGAAGAGCAAGTATAATCCCCTTATGTTTGCACGGTGTGGGTGCCCTTTAAAAATCTGATTAGCTCTTTTAATTACCAGGGACCCGTTCAGCACTTAGCTGGCAAATAGCTAGGTCTAATGAATACGCTCTCTGTGTCAGGAAACCATCATTTATTTCACTATCTGTGTTCTCAGCTTTGGAGGCTTCAGCGCTCAGCACCCAGGTCACATCAGTGGCACTGTTTCTTTTTCTCACCTTTGTTTTACATGTGGCTGCGGAGCCATTAAGTGGTCCAGCATGATCAACATGGTCTACCTGGGGTGGGGGAAATGCTCACTGAATTATATAAGTGCTAATTCCATCAGAAAGCTGGCACAGAAGAGACAAGGGCAAAAAAAAAAAAAAAAGGGAGAACAGTCCTCAGACTGTCCCTACCAACTGCTGTGGATAGAAGGATCATTCCCTGCTTGGGGCAGTGATTAAAATAAGTTATTTCAGCCAATCAGTGGTGGTGCATGCCTTTAATCCCACGATTTGGGAGGCAGAGACAGAGGCAGGCAGATCTCTATGAGTTTGAGGCCCAGCCTGGTCTACAAGAGCTAGTTCCAGGACAGGCTCCAAAGTTATAGAGAAACCCTGTCTTGGAAACAAACAAACAAACAAACAAACAGAAAAGTTATTTCAATAATATCTGAGAGCTGTGTTCCCACAACGGGAAAGCATTGTAGAGCTGGAAAAGAATGAAAACAAGTGCCCAGGAGCTGGTATCTGTATCAGTTTGAATGCTGTCTTGACCTTCATATTCCACAGTGACAGCGACAGGTGTTCCATAGAGACCTGAAATAGTAGAGTCTTGGCTTTTAGTCCAGGCAGCCAAACCTTGGCAGTTTCTGCCCTGTCTTATAAATCCAGGCACAGGCCAGGTCTGCAGAAGCCATCTGATAGCTTCAGGAGGATGGAGCCAGGGGATTCACTTCTGTGAGCTCTTATGTAGCCTCAGGGGGTTGTGACTCTGATGTCACGTAAGATCAGAAACACCCACACTTCCATCTCTTAGTGTTTAGATGACCAGCTGTGACGGTATAAAGAGCTAGAAGGCCTTGGAAGAGCCAGAGTACAGAAGGGACTCACACGCTCCTGCTGAGGGGCATGCGCACTCACAGCTTCGGTCCGCACAGGCTGTGAATCAGT